ACCTTTCCGATTGACGAGTGAAGGGTGTTTCTGGTGAGTGGCTTGATTTAAACATTCCAGTTGCTGACTATAGATCTCTGCATTGACAGCTCACTGTGGATTGAGAAGTTCGAAATGAATTACTCCTTTGATGTCCCACCAAATGCAAAGCATCATTTTCTGCAGATGGAATCCAGGTTTTTGGATCAGAAGTGGTTTTTGTCTAGGACTGAGCCATTGTTTTTGGCATTTAATATTCGCATAGAAAATCCATTTTTCATCACCGGTGATAATTCTGTCTAAAAATGGTTCATGCGCATTATGTGCCAGAAGAGACGAAGCAACGTTCACAGAAACGATTATCATCAGAGAGTTCGTGAGGCACCTAAACACCTTCTTTATAGAGTTTTCCCATATTGCTTAGATGTTTACGTATTGTTTTATGAGAAACATACAATTTCAATGCCATTTTACGAGTGTGTTGCCTTGGGTTAGACACAACAAGCATCTTCAGAGCATCTATATCAATTCCAACATGTCGGCCCCTGCCATCACAGTTTTTATGGCTAAAGTCACCTGAGCAAAATTTGCTGAACCATCGTTGACACTTACGAACATTCAAAACATTTACATAAACTTCTTTGATATTCTTTGTGGCTACAGAGGTATTCTTTCCCTTCTTGTATTCAAACAGAATTACATGCCGAATGTGTGTCTTTACACATTACATAGGCTACACCAACGTGACGTTTAGGCGGTTCATTTAACTATTATACGTGATGTACGTTTTTAGGGGGGTGGTTAATGAAAGTGGTCCAAAATGCGACATTAATTTCTTGACGACCTAATAAAATAACTCTGGTTCATATCCTTGGTTTCAGCTTATTAAGCATGAACATATTTTATAAAACAGATACAGTTTTTTAATATTCAAAAAGGCTTTGCATATCAGATGTAAATTTCAAGTAGTATTGTCTATTTAGGAATAGATATTCGTGTTTAGTTAAAGTAATATTACCTTAAGTGAGTATAATAATTTTGTTAATTGATAGCCTAAGAAATCTAAGTTTTATTATAGTCAAAAAACAATATAAAGCTGTTTTTTAAATTTTGTGCTTGTACTTTTCAATTACTATATCTTGAAAAAACATTTTTTAAATACATCTAATTTTTCCAAAAATGAAGAACTGGGCCTTTTGTATGTGCATAACAATTTATTGGTTAAAGTTCACAGAGAGGAAAACCTGAATATTCATATACGTTTGGGTCAGAGTTAATATAATTATTGTTTACAATTCTTGCATAACAAATTATTATATGTAATTCAGAGAAAAAAATTTACTTATGTTTTCTTTAATCTAAGAATAGGAAGATGACAATCATAGATGTCAAACAGTACAAAGTAAATTATAATCATTGCTTAGAACAATTCACATACAAAGTGGACTGATTCACTGAAATGCATAAAACTTTGACAAAGCAGGAAATTAAGAAAGAAGAGCAGAATGTTACACAAATAGTGTTCTAAAAATTACTGTATTGGAAAAATCACAACTCTACAAGACTCTTTTATAAAGTTAATTTGTGTCACTGTTGAATATTTTTATTGAGTAATAACTGACTTTATGTTCAAAATATGTATATATTTTTTGTGAAAAAAATGTAATTTCCTAACAATATTTCTTGTTGAGTAATTACATAACACACAAATACATGTAAAGGTATGTTTAATAAGGTCAGGAATAGTTTGAAATCATTACTCATTCTGAGTGTAACATACTAAGATTTTAGAATATGTATAACATAGATCATTGGTTCCAAACCTTTTTCCAACTGAGGACCAGCTAGTTCCGTTCCCAAAATTTCACTAACAGCATTGTACAATATTAATTTTTTAAAGTACTTTTTTAAATTACATTGTAAAAGAATATACTTCAGACTATATTTTAAAACATTTTTGTTTCAACTGTACTGTGGACCAACATGGTTGGGAACCACTGACAAAAGATGGATTTCAAATCTAACTTGAACACTTTTTCTTACAAAAAAAACTTTAGAAATGTACAAACTAGAGCTGAAAATATAGTGTAGATGTTAGACATAGATACATGAGCAGGTTGACTCCCAAACGTTCTTTCAATAAACAGAACCAAGAGGGTCTTTGAACTTAAGCAATACTGTTGTTTTAGGGAACTCTAAATGAAAGATGTATAGCATGAAAAATTTCTAAATAATGTATATACTTCCTCAGTTTCTGTCTTAAAACAAGAGGACAACCTGAATATTTTATTCAAGCTTGGGTTAAGATTAAAATAATCACTTATCACCAACTCATGCATAACAGTTTATTGATTGAAGTTCACAAAGGAAAATCTAACAATTCATTCAAGCTTGGGCTAAGATTAGGATAATCACTGAGGATAAATTGTTAAATAAAATTCACAGATACAAGTACTTAATCATATTAGGTAAAAACATATATTAAAATGTAAGTGAACACTAGAGAAGTTTACAAAAAACAATCATGAACCAAGGAGTAATATACAGTAAAGTTTTAAACAGCAGAATAAAACTGTATTTTAGTTGTACACTTGATTTTTTATTATTTCAATCAAATAGATGAAGAGGTTAACAAAAACATAGGTAAGTAGCTTGGCATAGAAACTTGATTAACTGTGCCAAAATGAAACATCTTGGGGTCCAGAAATTTTTAAGAGATCTTTCTTCCCTGCTAAATGTATAAAAGGCAGTTCTTTTGCACATTTTTGACAACAGATTTAGAGAATTAAGCTTAATAGAATTTGTTAGAGGGTGGTGATATTGATATCATAATTTATCCGTCTGTAATTAGTATAGTATATACCTTTATCCAGATAAATTCAGGTAATTTTTCTTAATTTTGTTCGGAAATGTTCTGCATGTAGTTAGCATATTTCCATATGCACAAATATCATCATGTACATTAATAATCCAGTTGCTTAGATAAAGGTTACATACTATGACAGCTACATCTTGGAAGCTTCTACCAGTTTGACCTGTCTACTCCCTGAGGTTTAGCAAGCACATCTCAAGGAGTGATATGCATACAATGGCAAGTTAGTATGATTATTTAGAATAATTAAATCTAAGAATACTAGGATACTGCACTAGAACTTTAGCCAGACGTAAAAGTGGGATATCTGCATGATTCTCGATGTTATTCATGATTTTGGCTTGTGTAGACATTTAGGAAATTCTCTCCAGCTCCAGCAGATGAGTAATCAAATATAGAAACCAGCCACTAAGTTAAAAACAAATGATACGTGCTATTTGTATGAATAAAGATCTGTTTTATTTGTTCACTTGTGTGTATTTGTAATTCCTTAACTGTCCATCTTTGAACTATTACTCTGCATAACATTACAGTGTTTTATGGCTACTTACATCTTTCTATATGACATTAGTGTACTTAAGTACCACAAGAGTACTGCAATTTTTGGGGTAAGGTTAACACTATACACTTAAAATGGAAAAGTTAAAAATTTATTATTTAATATAATTTTAAATTTAATCCATCCACACAATATATAATCACAACTTTCTCACTCGAAGTAAGCAGTATGAACATTTACACCTTTTAGTAAATTGCCTGTCTAGACCAGGAAAGTACATAACTACTATTCATGAGATATATAGTTGTCTGACAATTGCCAAAATTTCACTTGCAGGCCTCTTATGGTTTTGCTGTCTTTAACCTTTAAATTACTAACTTTTAAACTTATCCTTCACTGTTAGTGGCATCCACATATTTCATCATATTGAGTAATTTTATTACCCTTTAAAAACTTTTAGTATAAAGAATTAACCAAACCAATTTGGTGAAATTATTCACTTTCTATGTGTGAATAAATAAGGTACCTCAGTAGTAAGAACTAGTGGGATTAATTGCAATATTGATGATACTTACATTTCTTTGTTTTCCTCGGGACCTTGTTAAGTGATGGATGGCAAATAATGGAGTGTAAAAATAACTTAGAAGTATATTTGTTTAATCTAGGGCTAATAATTTCCCAAGAAAACTAACTTGCTATCTTGAACAGACAGTCCAAAACAAGAATGCTCTAAATTCAGGTAATATGATGCATACGCAGTAACAAACATTTAATTCAAGTCTTGAAAGTTTTGGAATGTACATATTCCATCTTTAGCACAAAATAGCTATAGAGTATTATTCTCATATCACCATTTAATAACATTAGCAACAGATTCATTCAACAGGGATCAAAGTTTAATGATGAACAGTAGAACGATGGCAGCAACAATGAACATTTGACACGTGTGTGTATAGTAATTGTTTGTTACTGTACACACACACACACACACAGTGTCAAATGTTTGTTATTGCTGCCATCGTTCTACTGTTCATCATTAAACTTCAATTCCCATCAACTAAATCTTGTACATAATTTTGTGTTAACCAAACTTTGATGTCAAACACATGGAATATGTTGGTAGAATGCATCCTCAATGGATGTTATGTATTTTAAATACCCCTTGACATGTGTCCCTAAGATAATAGTTTGTGATGGACAAATTGTAATGACAAATTCGTTAAGAGAATTTAGAAGGTTTGTAAGTGGAGGATTTACTTAATAATTATTTTCACTGTATTGGTCATACTTTTATTGTCATTACATATCAAATTCTTTTATCAAATACAATTTCTATAATAATAAAGCACAACATACCTGCAATCATTGTGTTAAAACATGCAACGCATTCTTGTAATGCTTGAGAGCGAGGTGTTTAATTAGATTATAATATATCTGAAAGTCAAGTTTAGCATCCATATTAGCTTTTTCTTTTTACAAGCCTCAACTCACGTGGTGGTTTTAAATTTGGTTTGTCCTCACTTTATGTGGAGTATTTATCAGGTTGACCTTGTTTTGTGGATTTTTTACCTATGTTTATGAATTCCAAGATATTCTAAAATGTCTTTGGTTGAAACTATGATTCTTCATCTCTTGTGAATTTGGACACATTGTGATATACACCTAATTCTTCTCCATGAATATATTTAATAAGTCCATGTATCTCACTTCTACTGTATATAAACTAACATGAAGAATTTTACTGTCTATTGCTTTTTTTATCCCAATCAAGGTTGTTGAAACTAATTAAGTAAACTTACTTCAGGAAGTTAGATCCTGAATACTTCAGAACCTGTGTTTGTTTGTTGAATATCACACAAAACTACTCAAGATGTCCCTAATTTTAAAACAATAAGACTAGAGGGAAGATAGCTAGTTAACACCACCTTCTGCCAACTCTTGGGTTATTTTAAAAAATAAATAGTGAGATTGACTCGCATTATAATGCCCCAAAGCTGAAAGGGGGGAGCATGTTTGATGACAGTATTCAAATCAGGAGATTGCAAGGCAAGTGCTCTAACAACTAGGGCATGTCAGGTCACATTCATCAGACATAAACCTTTGCATATCACCATAGCTTGAAGAACTTTCCAAATTCTTTGAGATTATCTGTCTTTTCTTATCAGTTTTACCATAAACAGTATTTTGTTGAGGCAAGTATCATATACTAAACTCTCCTATAGTTAAAAAGTTTCAGAAACTAAATGCTTGCAATTAGGAAATTTATTATTGGTCATGTGCTAAACTTATACCTATGTTCTAGCCTTTTTTTCAGCACATGCTAATCTAAGTTTATTCCCCACCAGAAAATGGCTTATTGGTGGTCTGAGTCACCTCAGTGTTAGGCTGTTGTACAAGTTCACAAAGGAAGATACATCCAAATTCTGAATGTTGCAGTCTCAGCTATAGGAAGCTGTACGAATTGTGAGAGCAGTTTTGGATTTTTAGAGAACCAATACCTACATATGAAGTGTTGTGTTGATTTGATTTTGTTCAAAGTGTTTTTGCTGACCATGTCATGCATATAGTTACGTTTGTTCTTTTAGTTTAATTACATTAAATCCAAGTTTATATAACTTTTAAGTTTCATTCAGTTAACATTAAATTCTAATGTTTAAATTAATTTTGTTTCATTTGCTCTTTAGATTTAGTTCTCAATTCAGCAATTTCTTCCAGGTTTAATTCAATTTCTCATGCACTTTTATACATTCCAGTCTATTTTATTTCACTTTCCGTCTGTCATAAAAAGTTTTTTGTGTATTACAAGTCTCATTTCTCTTACTTGAACCATACAAGTTCAACTATACCTTAATCCTTTTGCTGAATAACTCTTGAGTTATTGTGGTGACCAGATACCTTTGTATGGTTACTTTTTTATACATTTTGCCATTATATGGTATCTTCTTTTGTCAATTTACTTTTTATGCTTAATTATTTTAAATATATTTCTCTGAAGTTTAATCTTTATTAGTTTTGTTGGAATTTATGTTTTTACAAAAGATAAAAAAAAAAATTAATTCAAATCCAAGGTAGGTAATTCCTTTAGCATAGTACTGTAATATTTTCTCACACTATTACACAAAAACACCAGCCATAAAATATGTTTATTATTTTCAGATGAAGACAGTGCTGTACATGGTTGGTAAACAGTGTACATTAAGATATCTATGTTCAGGTCAAATAAACAAACATACATTTTGGGCTAGGATGCCCATACTCATCAGGGCAATACATAGTATTGTTTGAACAGTTCTATCATCCAGCATTGCTAGGACGAATTAAAAATCTACATAGAACAAATCACCATAGTAATAATGGGCACAAGTTCAACATCCCCACCACCGTCACATCTGTCCCCACGAGAGATTGGCTATATAACTATACCTTATGACTGTGGCTTCTTTACAGACATTTTCATCATAAGTCATCAGATATCAAATCTTGTGTTATTATTTTAGTGGATGAAATCTTGCTATTAACATTATGTAAGAACAAATATCAACATTTTTGTAAGATTTAAATGAAGAAATACAAAACATTCTTCCACACTTAATGCAAGCACTATACACCATAATGACTTACAGTAAATTTTATTATATAAGCACCCATAAAATTTGGTGAAAAATTCTATAGTGCTCTAAAATCAATTTAAGATTATCACAGTGCTGTGACATTGGAATGGTCAATACTTCTATACAACACTATCAAAATGTGTAGACACAATTCATATATGTACAAGTAATAAAACTGCATTTCCCACACAAGTTTTCATTTTTGATAACAGACAGACATTATTTAATTCACACAGAACAAAATATTGAAGAATATGAGATGTGCTGGAACCAGAATAATCAATACTTCTATACACAGTAATAATAACACCATAATGGTTGTTATAATGACAGTTCTTGTCTATTTGTTGGTTAGTGAACAAATGGCAATCACTTAGCTAATAGTTTTTTGTAGTTAACATTTCTACCACCAGAGTTAAAATAATTAGTGCTTAAGGCTAGCAGCAAAACTCAACATTTTCATTACTGAGTAATACTACTTTAACCACCTTTGCCATTACGTTGTATGGGATAATGTACCATATACAGAATCCGCTAAACAGTTATAATTTATTTGAAAAACTACAAATGAAATAGCTTGTTATGCTAAATGTCATTGTATAAACAAAGTTCTTCCAATTACTTTAAATTATCATGGGAAACAATCTAAGGTAAAGTTATATTATTTTTATACTAGAAAATAAAAATTGTTTTTAATTTTTATCATTAAACGGTATTGATGATGCTGTTTCTTTCACTACTTGATAGAATAAAGGAATCATCTACTAGGCTTGAGCTACAAACGACTAGAAATATGTGTACCTAAAAGATTTCTTGACTGGCCTGATTTGTTACTGTTGGTTCTTGTATACCTGTTCATGTAATTTTTTTTGCAATCTGTTCACAAATTACTAAGCAGTAGCATTCTTCTTTTTAAACAGGTAAAGTCAACAGCTCAAAAACCTTGAAGTTTTTCCAACATAATACTCACTTTCTGAGTAAACAAGTTAATAATTTTGATCTTATTATTGTCTATCAAGCATAAGCTTTCAAGCCAAACATTTTTTAATATAATAAAATAGTTTATTTGTTCAAGGTTTAAAAATAACTTAATATGGTAAAATATTTTCCAAGTTAATTGCAAATCAATATCAAAAAGAATTTGAAACTGTTATTGAAAACTTTCTAAAACTTTATCCTTTAGGGAACATGGTCAAGATTGCAGCACAGATTCTTTGTGCATTTGTTTCTTCTGGATTTAATTCCATCACTGCTCTTACTTGCTCTGCAGGAAAAATTGATGACAAATGATAGAAAACTTTGTGCCGAGAATCATCCTGCAACACATCTGGTCTTGGGGCTGGGATCAAAGATCTGACTGGATGACCAATGCCATGACTTTGGGTTACAGCAGAGTCTGTCCACAGAGCACTGTTTGACCCTTGACCCTGTAGTAACCAGTGTCTTTGAGGTGATGATTTACCAGTGTAACCAGCAAGTACTAGTCCTTGGGAAGGTAACCCAGCAGTCTGAACATCTGGATAAAGATTGAGGCTTGTGTCAGAAGTGCTGTTAAGACGCTGCATCCCAGCAGGTGCAGGAGGCCACTGTTGACAAGAGTCTGGGGCACTGGCAATCCTTGTCAAGCTCTGATGCTCTGCAATGGTAGGGGATGTTACATGATTCCATGGGTGAAGAAATGTGGGTGATGGCCTGCCTTCACTACCTAATCTAGTCAAGGGTTGGTGGGTTTTTCTAGAATGACCCTGTTGCTGGATATTCTGACCCTGAGAATCAGGTGTCCGCATTCTCTGACCACTACCATCTCTAAAAACTGAGAGAAAGTGAGGATCAAATGAAGGTCTGAGAGTAAGTTTCTGCTGAAGCTGACAGGGCAAATTGGCTTCCTCTCCAACACATGAGACAGGTTGAGGAGAATGGAAAGACTGTTTTGGAGCACGTTGGCTATCTGGATCAGAAAGACGTTTGGCCACAGTTAAGTGGCCCCCAGCACTAGGATCTAGGAATCGCTCTGCTTGTGAACTGCATATATTCTGGGGAAGATTTGGCATGGTTGCAGCCCAGCTGCAAGCAGATGCAGGAATATCAGACCAAGAAGCACCAAGTGGACCCAGATTACTCAGCCCTCCTGATACTGGGTTACTGAATGAAAATGATCCTTCAGGTTGCCTATTTTCAGAATCAGTCAGTTCTGCACTAACAAGTGTAGATGGTACAAGAGACTTGGTCCTAGACAAAGGCTTCTTCATTTTAGGCTGTGACGATGATGTACCAGATAATGGAAGACTCTTAGTCTTCAGCTTATCACCTGTAAAATTGAAATAATGAACAATAAGTGGTAAAGGACAAGAAAGGAAAAAAGAAATGATTTGAAATTACAAATTTAGCAAAAAATTTAAAAGGATGTGTGTTTTTTCTGTTTCTAAATATTAATTATTTCATTGCATTTTATGTTGATGATAATAGCTAGTTAGTGATATGGTATGGAAAATGAAAAATAAAATATAAATATTTACCTTAACAAAAATGTTGATATCTTTTTAGGAGGTTCTAGAGAGATTATGCAAATGAAATATGAAACTATAAGATTAAAAGTATTTTTATACTTAAAATAAAAATCACCTTGCACTTGATTTGTTAATAGTTTGAATGCAAGTAACTACAATAGATAAATAACATATTTTTAGTAAAAACACTTAATTATAATGACATCATTCTTGGTGTACAAGTGAAATTTGCAACTTGATTTCCACAAATTGCCATAGCCCGCCGTGAAAAAGAGTTAAAGGGGTTTTAAATCAATAATATGCACATTCACATATTCCATATAAGTAGAATATTGTAGGGCACTGACTCATACTAAAACAGCCAAAATCAAGTAATAAATAGTATCAAACAGGCATAGATCTGAAAATCATTACATTCAGAACATAAAAAGGACTGTAATTGCAGATGAAAAATAAAGACATATTTTCAGTTTAAACAGAAACTTGTTATCTTTTATATGCATTTTCTGTCTTAATATTAAGTTTATTGAGGTGAAAGTTTGTCAGCTATTTTTACCCATACCCTATATTCAAAATCTTTATTACTGTATTACAGTCATTACTATTCATAATTTATTTTTAATGAATAATGCAAGGATGAAAATAGTGTACCAGAAAAGTCATATTGCTAGTGTTGCTGCACAATTGGTTTGGTTGTAAAAAAATTCAACAAGTGATCATGAGTAACTAAATACTGAATCAAGAAAAATCAATGGTGACAAAGGCTGAATGACTAGTTGGTAAACTAAAATATTATTTACATTTTGAAAGAAGAGATTAAATATTAGCTTCATTCCTGTTTAAACCCATAAAGAAATATTTAAAGGCATTTTTGCCTACATATTACAGTGGATTTATTTTGTAAGAGCAATTATCTTCCAGGTGTTAGTGAAAAAAAAAAAAGGAGGCAAAATATGAAGTGGTGATTGAATAGCTTGATGAGGTCCATTTCACTTTTTACATAAAGCAGAATGTTTGAAATGCTGTATAACAATCCTTCAGACAGACAAACAGGTGGAGGTAAAATCTGTTTGATAGCAGTTTACAGCAAAGATAAAATTAATAAGTGCTGGATTAAAAATATGAATTAGAAAATTATTAGGAAAAAATTCTGCAGTACTTTCACCCAACTGAGCAAAGACAGTCTATAAAACATTAAATTTTTCTCCAGTTCTCTATCAAATTGTGATTTATTTTTAAAATTATAGTATATACCTTGCTTTCCTGATAATCATCTGTATTACTAATGATAATAGCATGCATATTAGATGCGTAGATTAACCAATGGCTTTTGGTTAGATAAAAAGTTTTGTTTTTGGATGTTCTAGTAAAGTTACTCAAGGGCTATCTGAACTGATAAGACTAGAGGGAAGGCAGTCAGCAACACCCACTGTTGGGCTACTCTTGTCTGACTGAATATTGTAATATCATTATCACCCTTACTATGCAGCCATCATGGCCCCTAATTGGAGAGTTGAATTTTTTGTTGGGGGGGGGGGCAGTAACAGGGCATAAAGGTTATAGTAGTTACAAACTTTTAAACTAACATTTGCTTACTACTAGCTTTATTTATACTATGATAATTATTTCAACACAACCAACTGCATGTTCTGCAACAGAATACCTTCTAAATATTTTCTACATGTGGTGTTTTATGGTGTTCATAATCTAATAACTTGTATTTTTTTGAGAACTAATACATATTAATATCTTTAAATGTGTGCTCAAAATACATTTCCAGATATTAAAATTAGGTCTTTTATTTGATAAGAAACACAATGGTAATACTTAAGACTTTCTCTCTTACATAACAACTAACTAAAGAGAGAGAGTTGTAAAATGTTGTGTATGTAGAAAAATACGTCAAGCTCTATTAATATAATAAGCCAAGATTGTTTTACATAATTAAGCATGGAAGTTTTTGTTACATTTTAGTCACGAAGTAATAAATTTTGCTAAATACTAACTGGTCTGTTTCTCTTCCCTCTTTCTCTCCCTCTCTATATATATACATGTGTGTATGCCCAAACATTAATCCAAGTTAGAAAAATACAAAACTAATGACATAATTTATGCTTAAATTACTGACTTTAGGAAATCTAGTAATAGATGAAAACTCACAAAACAAAAATAGCTCATACTTACACTAAAATGTACAATGAAGCTAAAAAAATAAAATACACTACCCCATGTTATAAAATGAGGTGGAACTTATCACAAGCCTTGTCATTTTCACTAATGTCTTTATACATATTGTTACATCCAGAAAATTAGTAAAGTAACAATTACCCCAAGAGAACTGAATACAGTGGTCTATAAAATTACCTCAGGAGAAGAATGAATATTGTAGGTCACTGTATGCAGTACATTGATCTAAATAACTTCTTTTATGCTGCATTGTTTTAGTCATATCTTAAATATTTTGCTGTTTACTATTACAGATACAATTCTGTCAGGTTAATTCATAATAGACATGCTGAAGTTAATTCAGTTCTTCCAATGAATAATGTTATATACTTACTAAATGATGTCAACAGGAACAAGTAATGGGGTTGTGCACTTACTTCCAACCTTGTAAATTTAGTGATATACAGATATTGGAGGGTATATACCCAACTAGCTCACAATTTTATTATTGTGTATAAGTAGTACCTGTTTTTGAAACACATAGTCCAAGTTACAAAAATGTTGATATACAAGAGTAAATACGAGTTTAAAAAAAAACTAAATTATTAATTTTTATTTCTCCTTATTTATTTTATAGCTTGACTGAAACTGTTCACCAAACGTTTTACTTCTTTTCTACCAAAACTAAATTCACCAACCGAGAAAAAAACTAAGTTTTAAACTAATATATCTTTGGGGCAAAGATCAGAAGATGTCAAAACTAATTCAAAGCCAAAAGTTAAGCCTCTACTACAGTACTAAATGAGTACTCACCTGGAGAGGAGTCTCGACTTTTTAGCCCACGAGCTTTAACTTCCTGTAGTTGCTGCTTTGCATGCTCTGCCAGACGTTCTGTGACAGATTTTTGGGGTTGGTTGCCTCGTTCAGGATGGTAGTACTTGCACTTATTACCATAAGTACATTTTTTTCCATATGGACAGGGTGGAGGGAGTGTGTCTGGAGCCTTTGGTAGCTTCCGAATGAAGTTTTCAAGAGACGGTCCATGCCGACCCAATGGATCATCTGGAGGCATGAACCTAGACAATAGCAAGTTTTAAACATGAACAAATAAAATCTACTGTATAATACCAGTATGTCTTGTTAACCAACATAACTATTTGAGTTATTAGAAACAAGGGTCATAAGTACAGATAATCAGAAAATATAAAGGCACTGACATCCAAACCTGAATGATCATTGGCTCAAATTTGCTAATCTGTAAAAAAGGTGACCAGAAATAAAGTCACAAATATTATGTGTTATTAATGGGTGTATGTCATGTACTTTTCATATAATGTTACATATACATCATGCTATTATTGTAATAAATAACTTACGTAATTGTTGTACAAGGAGATATATATAAAAGTAAATGATAAACAAGGCTACTTGCCTGGCTTACCACTACCTGAAGAACATCTGACTTGACAAATGTGGTGCCTAACCTGAACTCATACTAGATCAGTCCAAATTACAACCCTGGATAGCTTCTCTTACATTTTGTACTTTATATACTGAATTTATTAATACATCATCTAATCTAAGCATTTCTTTATTAAGATGTATAGTGTCATGCTTTTTGATCAAACAGCACTCTAGAAACAGTCTGTTAACTTAACACATGTATTTATATATAATGCAGAGTCAAGTGCACTTTTCAGGCATATATGAGGTCAATCATCACATGAATGAGTGGAATAATTCAATAATTTAACTTCTATGAACTTAAAAAATTATAAACATAAGTTTGATATTGTGTCTTTTTTTTCTTACATCAGAGAAAATACTAGTTTTGTCTAGGATACAGCTACACATTAACACAGTCTCAAGTCATCACAGTAACAGGTATGCATTGCTGTTTTGTTATCTTAGATTCAATAACAACTATTTTAATTCACATTAATAAAAACGAGAAATACATTAGTACTTTTATTTTCGACAAGAATAGCATACACAGTTCGTTAGTTACCTTTGTGGACGATAAAGTTTTAACAGATATAATGCTATTACAAACACGAATATCAAATTTCTTAGCCCTAAAGGGTATTCTTACGCAAACAGTTCTTACAGTTGTTTAAATGAAAAGAAATATACGGTGTAAATTTTCAAAGTACTTAAAGTGATACGAAAGAAACAGTATTTCCAAGAAAAATAAAACTCAAACGAAAATTAAATATGCCGTCTTCGTATAAAATCTAAACATGTATCTAGAAAGTAAAAAAAAACAAAACATTCTGAACGTTCTAAACAATCTAAATATTTTAATATCAATGTATATATATATGGAGATGGACAAACTAGAAAACGTGTTATAAAAAATAATTATTTTCTGCCAAAAATGTTTAGAAGGATAAATGTGTTTAAACAGAAACAAAAGCAACGAAGTAACAAAGCCTCTCCTACGTCCAAGCATGACTTGGGGCCCTAACAGCGGCAAATCGTGCAGCCGCGTCACGTTGCACGGGTAACTTGCCGCGGGATTCCCACGACCTTAGCTAGCGCGTGACGCTCCTACACTAACCCTTACCCCTGCCCATCCCAGTCAGCTACAGACTGATCTCTTTATGGCAGTGAGGGCAACCTCAGATGGCGCTTCTCATGACTTCTCCCTAGAGGATTTGCAACTTCCTCTGACAAACACAGCAAGTTTTTCCTTTACTTAGTATCAGACCTTTAATGTTAGTGGAACAACTTGTAAGTACACAAACCATATGTACATACTATTTACTTTTATCCATTTTCTATTGTTAGTTTTAAACAACATATATTCTTCAACTACGAATTATTTATTTGTAAAAGTATCCCAAGTCTTTTCTGGTAAGGAACGGCCAAAACGTGCGATTTTACAACCAGTACGTCACATAAAAAAGAACAGAGAATATCGCTTGTTGCTGGCCAAAGTTGTTATCACATAGCGAACGCATTTTTAAGTTGTTAACTTTGCCAGACTAATATATACTTTTTTGTATTTATTGGATTTTGATGTTTATAAAAATATATGTTAAAGCTCGAAACACCACTGAGAATACATCTATTTAACTGCCATATTTAGATATTTAAATCACACTTAGAAAACTGTTCAATAAAAGCTTTTTTTAAACAAACAATGCAAGCTCGAGGTCAAGCTACCTACTCGTTCGTTCACTGAATTACAGAATAAGTATCGTTTAAATACTCTATCTTTGGTTCTCAAAATAGTCCCTTAAAGCAACGCACTTCTTGGTTTGCAGTAAAACAGCTTTCTGTACTTTTCTGAGTAATTCTAGTTTCAATAAATTTTTTGTGGTTTGAAAAATAAGCCTTTTTAAACTCTGAAAACAATACCAAAAATCAAGACCTTTAAACACTCCATCTTTGAAAAAAATCCAAATTTTCAGATACTTGAATCTTTTCCGTGCAGGATCTAACAAAAGAATTAAGTTTAAAAGTCGTCACTTTTCAAGTAAACTTCCCAGAATTTTACATCAGCGTTTTACATTTGATTATTTATGTTTTCTTCCGCTAAAAGAACGCTGCCACTTTAAAATTATATTCCGTATTTTTAATTGATTAATCATAAACAAAAATATTTATACTTGAATCAGATGAATTACTTTTCTCAAGTGACCTAGAAAACGTTTTCCAATTTAAGTGGAAGGACATAAGATATAACCTTACTTTCTAGGGTAATTTTACCTACTTCTTTGTTTTGTAAATATTTTTAAAATTGTTAACTAAACTTAAAAATTCTAAAGCTTTTAGAAATAACATCGTACTTATGTTAGCAGTGTGAATGTGAATGACTATACTTGCGATGTAACCTAAAGATACAATTTACATTTCTTATTCAAATCGCAGTGCCATTGGGCTATACAAAGTTGGTCACTTGTTTTGTAGGGATAACGACACACACATATCAGCAAAACTCCCAACCTATAAAAAGAAAGACGACAGAAAATCAGTTTTCCGACGGATAACACTCAAGGTTCTGATTAGTTTCTTCTTGGCCTTGACTAAAACTGACGTGACGCGTGGGCATCCGCTGCGGGCATGACGGAGACGTCCCTGACCCACGTAGCCGGTATGGCTCGAGATACATCTCAACAGGGAGGTACATGCCGAGGGCCGGTAATTTAACACACCTAGCTTACTGATGATGCGGTAAAGAAAGGCCACATTTTCTCAGGTGGAGGTCGGATGGAATGGTGGGCGGCAATATCAGCGAAATATTTCAAGGAAAGGGATGCGCACAGAATATTTTATATGCTTGTCTGGCTGAATGAAAAGGTGTGTGTAAGGCTAGTGGCATGCCTTGCAATTTTGTTTGCTTCTTTCAAAAAATATGTGAATCTGAAGTTAACTCTCCCTGTTTTTTTATGTGGACAGTACAGAAATGCATGTGAAAAGTAAAGTGGTTTGTGTATTGCAATACACAAGTAAAATACTGATGTAACTGCATTGTATAGTCTGTACATTTACTTACAGATGTTGAATACACCTTGTACGATTTGTTCTCTAAATAAACCTGAATAGAGTGAGACTTTTCACTGAATCTGATATTTCCCAAACTGCTTGATTAAAGTATAAAGCTTATTACAACTAGGATTAACAACAACCTATACTCATCCAAATTACATTTTGATACAAAAAATTGCTCTACAATTCCAAACTTAAACAATTATACGTGAAAGAGCAATCCCAGTAACCTGGAGCCTATTGCAATGAACATTTTTGTCATTTAATGATGTTAGTAACTTAACCATCAAGTGTAGTATGGATAGAAGTGCTTTGGTGTGGAGAGCTGTTGGATGGACAGGCAGAGTTGCATCTTCTATTTCAAAACATAAATTATCCAACTTTATTCTGATGAAGGTATTTATTTAGTTATTTATTTTTTCCTCAGGGGAAATATAGGAAACTTCAGTATAAAGTAAAACAATTTACACGTTAGACAAAGAGTTAAGTATTGTGGTGAAAAATGCCTATATTTAGTTTCTATAATATTTGCCCACTACTCACTTTGAGAAAATACTGTAATATTCTAATACCAAACAGCAAAGTAAAATAGGAGACTTTGAAAGAGATGTCAAACAATGTTTAACACACAAGTCTTTTCTTTAATGGGCAGGTTACTTATCAATATTTTGACACTTAAATTTCACAATGAAATCTTACATTGAAAAGTTCATCATATAACTCACAATGCTTTTGTAGTATAAAAAATGCATAATAGGAATACATATTTGAAATTGATAATAAATATCTTTTAAACATTAATATTACATACAAATTATATTATTAATATAACATAGTACTATAAATATTCTTAAATAGAAACATGTAGAAAATAATAAAATTATTGCTCAAAAACTTGACACCATATTATATGTACCCAAGTGAAATTTGTTTTTGTTTTCCTGCTTACTGTTTTTTTAGGGAAGGAACATGAAAAACGAACACGAAATCTTTTTCATTTGTTGTGCATGACAACAAATTATTGTGGATATGCTTGGAGACTAAAAAACCTTTTCACTCTGTAGAGTATCAATAACTTTCTTAAACAATTGAATTAGCTGTAGAAAACTCTGGTATATCTTTAAAAACACACTGCTACATTAAATGTTTTTGTGAATTATAAATCACAATATGTAATTTTCAATCCAGTTGTTTTTTGTCTCATGTTAGCATTTTTAATAGCACAACTACAAATAAAAATGCTGTGTATAGTATCTAATTACTTTGTATATAACATTTTAAACTGACATTTTTTGGGTGGAAAATTAAGTGAAATCTCTTACCTTATATTGAAATGTAGAAAGCAATTTTGTTTATCACTTAACATTTACATAGGTTGTACTTTCACAGAATTGTGGAGACTTACCTCTAAATAGTGCTTTGAAAGCAGATGAAATCTCCTAAGTAACACAAGTTCAATGATAAAGAATTAATGTTCAAGTAATAATCTAGTACCCACATACCTGTCATTTACAAATGAGTACATCAACAACCGTTCTTCTACAACTTTTTTATACTCTGGATTTTCATTCACAAGATCCCTGTAGTTATCATTGGACACAACAATTCCATCAGTTTCAGCTGCCAGTTTCAGGATATAGCGGTCATCATAAGGGACAATTCTTCGTCCTTTGACCTGCCTTGAAGGAGTGAATACTAGTAGTCTTTCTTTCTCCAGCTGAAGTAATATTTCCTGATCTACAATAAAAATACAAACACAGCTTAATATTTCATCATCAATCTAAAGTAAAACTAAATACCTGGAAACATACAAGTTCTTCAAACCTCAAAATCTTTCTGTTAAATAGTCCTCTTCTTTAGTAAATTTGAATAAACCTAAAATAGATGAGAACTCTCTTCTTCACTGAGCTCATGTAACATTTGTTTGGTCCTTAGATTTACTGCAAAAATTAAAATATAACCAATAAAAGTGCATTAAATTAGATTCTTTATTATTTGCAGAATTTCTTTGCATATAGGTTTTCTGAAATATCTCTTTACTAATCTCTCATCAAAATAAGAAAAAAAGCCAAATGATTAACTCTTTTGGGTGATCCAATGTCATTTAGCTTTATTGGTTTTGAAAAATATTCAGACACATTATGAATATGAGAAAAATCTTCTTTCAAGGCAGTACATAACAGAAAAGATGTTTGCTTATTCTGACTTATAAGAGTATAGAACAGCAGTTCTGAATCTGTAGTCTGCATACTCACTTCAGTAGGTCCAGGGAAAGGTTACATGATTACACGAAGGAAGCAGCAGCATAATGTATAGGACCATTATTTTGGACCACCAAAATAAAAACATGGAGGTGGTTCAGAAACAAAAAACGTTTGAGAACCAGTTGTATAAAAGAAAGACAATAAATATTAATGTTCTTTTTATAAAGTAAAAGCTTTCTACCATCTTCATTTGTTATTGAAAAAACAAAACATTGTATATAGTAAAACTTCTGTTTATTTTATTCACATTTCATCAGGTGACATACAAGAAATGAATAAAATAAACAAAAGTTTTACTATGTACAACTGATAAAAACTTGTGTGAATTTTAAAAACATGTTTCTTTCTAATATTTAATACATTGTATATTTTTTTAAAGAAGAAACATGAAATTTTATACTTGTACTTAGTACTTTACCTACCATAAAATAAGAATGAGTGAGAAGGTGGCACAAACTATCTAAGTTTAAAAAATCAAACAAGCATAACTACTAATACAAAACTGTCATTAGGATCCTATAAAAAGCAATAAATCCAAGCATTTGGATCAGAATACTTTTTACCTAAGAACATAGAAGATAATTTGGAACTTCCAATGATAGATAACAATCATGCACATGGGCAGTGGGAGTTCGAAGGGGTTCGGCGAAACCCCTATTTTTGTGAGGTACAAAAATTGTGTTTATATAGTTATAGTGCAGCTGCTTGTGGTATTTAATGTTTTCTACACAGTAACATTCTTCTGCATGTTGATTGTGCTTCACACAATATGTATTGGTTTTTCATCTCACAAATTAGAACCCTCTTTCAAACGTACTGCATTCAGGCCTGGCAATGCTTTGACCAAAACTGCAAACTCATATTCAAAATAGAAAAGAGAGAGAGAGATTATTAATCATATGTACAATCCCCATTTATATAATGTTAATTTTAAGATTCCCAGGCCAAGATTTGTTGAAACATTGAATACAATGTTCTGTAAACTACCTATTCATGAAAGTCCATCTTTAGTTTCATATTTTTACATAATACATTTTAGACAAATACATGCATTTATACAAAATGTCTTTTCAGATAATACTGAAGGCACAATTTAATCAACAACAAATCATACTGAAAAATTTTCTACATATTTAAACATTATTAACAAATGTATTTTTTTGCATATATATATATATATATATATATACACATACATATAAATTTAATTTTTTTTTGTCTTTCAGGAAAGCTTTATTGTAACACTAACAGACGTCCATTGAAACAATTTAATGGTAATTTTCCTAAAAATAGTGATGAATAAATATCAAATGTACAGAATATGCATGCAATGTGATTGTCTAGTGGGCCATTTACAAATATATTTTGTCATTCCATGTATTATTTCAATAAGGAATATTTCATTGCATTTGTTTTTCAGCAAAGGAGACTGACTGCAATGCATTGCTTACAAAAATGTTTGTGTTTCAATACAATAGTGCATCCAGCACAATAGAGTGCTCAGGTTCACCAGGCAGCCATGAGGATTTTTTTTTCTGCTGGATGCCACCATTCCTTGTCATTTTACTGAGTGCAAGAAAAGATTACTACTGAAGTGAAAGCTTTTTGACAATTGTCATTTCTATAAGAAGCATCAAAGGAGAAATATTCTATTCAATTCAAATCAATTTATCCAACGTGGTACAATAAAATCATGCATGTACATAATACCAACATGAAAAAATATATATTCATATATAAACCAAACAATAACATATTGATTCAAACATATTCCTCTCTTTGCACATCTTTTCTATTCATACTCCTATCTTAAAAATAATTCTTTCAATCAGTTGACACAGGAAGTCCCCATTTTTCTAATGAAATTCCCTCACAACAACAACAAGAAAAAAAAACAATTTTGTTCTTTGTAAGTTTTTCCTCAGACTGACCTTTCTACACATACAAAGACTGACAGATCAATATTGATATGATAATAAATTACAGAAAATTCAAGAAATGAATACTTTCCTGTTTTCCTGTAAGGTACTCTTGAAAATAAGAATTTTTATATATGATTTTTATGTATGAGTAACCATTCAGTAATACAGAGCATGACAGACAAATAGACATTTGGCTATTTTATGCATAGATGAGACTGACTTCATACTTACTTCAATGTAAAACAGTATATGACAAAAAATGTCATAATGCATGGTTTTTATTATTGTACCATAAGACTAACTTATTAGCTTCATCCATGTACTAACCAGTATATGACAAAAAAAAATCTCAAAATGTTTTTATTATTTTAAACCTAGACAAGTTTATTACAGGCACTTTTATTCACCTTATCTTAGATAAATATATTAGAAATTGTCAAAACAGATTATTTTCAGCTCTGAATCATTTTAGTTTAACTTTTGAACAAAGAGAATGGAAAATTCATAAAATTAATATCACAATAGGTTTTTTTTTTTCTGAAACCTTTTTATCATTTCTACTTATAATTCTTTCATTTTGCTGGTAAAAAATGAAGATCTGACATAATGCTTGCAAAATTAATAAAGGAATCAAAGATTATAAGATGTTTTATACAAATATTTCTACTGCCTAAAAATAACAATAAAATAAAAACAGTGGTAAAGCTATGTTTGAACACCAGGGTTATACAGAATGTGTAAAAAAAAAAAACAGCCACAAACAGTACTTTAATCAACATAGGCATACCTTTGATGGGAGCTCTAGATGATATGTCTCTTTAATAGATCAGTAATAAAAATTCTAATCAACATAGGCATACCTTTGATGGGAGCATCTGGATGAGATGTCTCTTTAATAGATCAGTAATAAAAATTTTAATCAACATAGGCATACCTTTGATGGGAGCATCTGGTCAAGATGTCTTTTTAATAGATCAGTAATAAAAATGTTAATCAATACAGGCATACCTTTGATGGGTGCATCTGGTCGAGATGTCTCTTTCCTCCACATGGGTACAAATACAGTAATTTCACTATGGCCCCTCATTCTGAACCAGTCCACAGCCAACTGAATACCACGACATGAAAAACATTCTTTGTTTCCATGACTACAAACAAAGAAATATACAGTTTTTCTTCATAAACTTCATAATCTTCTTCATAAGATAAAAATGTTAGCAATATACTTTACAAATACTTTCCTTGCTATAAAAATACTCCAATCACCTTTGCTCCATCCAAAAAATTTTTATTTCCCCTTCCAAAGAGAAGGTTATTTTTACATTACCATTATTTTCCCTTGTATCAGTCCTAGTCCAGTCCACATAATGATAACCAATTAATTTATTTCTACACTTATGTTTGTTACAGCCATGTTCATTTCTAAGGCTTAATTTCATAAACAAACTTTTCAACATAAAATTCACAACTGTATGTAGGCATAAGTTCAAATATATTTCAATATAAACTGCAAGACATGAATCTAGCTTATAAAACTCTCTCACAAAGCTAATTGATTGATAAACAACGTTAATTCACCAAGTAATTGAATAGCAAAATAGATGTGATAATTTTTTACTTCTAACACTAAATAACTTTCTGACACTGAACTAGCTTTCACTGATCAACAAAACTAAATCAATACTCATTAACTAATCACTGATTATCATACTTATAATGTACCTTTATTTCTATATGTTCCATGACATTTCTAGATGAATACCTCATCATCATTATTAACTACATCTATAATCACCAGGTAAAACTTTATGGAAAATGTACTTCGTCATTCCTACATATTTTGCTTTTTTTTTAGGATATTTCTGTAACAAGATAGAGTAATGGTCTAAGATGCATTCTGTTACATCACTAGGTGATTAAATTGAGTAATCAATTATGATAAGAATCAATTAATGTCATGCAAAGTAATCAACTAGTATTTCCAATTATTACTATTTGTGATTATTATAATTATTCAGTAATTGAGATACTTCCATTATGATTTTTCATTATTATTATTTTTATTAATTCAAGTTTGTTGAGCTTAACTGATTAGTGTCACAAGTCACAAAAGTAATCAACTAATCCAAATTAGGGTTTCTGATCATTACTATTTTTGATTATTCTAACTGTCCAAGTAACTGAAATATTGCTATTAAGTTTATTGGGTCGTCAAGAAATTAATGTCCCATTTTGGAACACTTTAATCCCCCCCCCCAATAAACATACATCACATATAATTGTTAGTGTAGCCTTT